TAATATCTTTGAAAATTTTTATTTGTTTTTATTTCGATTTCATGCAGGTTTTCTCACAAATTTTTTTATGTGAGAATGTGGCAAGCGAGCTGGCGGTTCACATGATGTTAAGTGATAGCCGCTGGCCATGGACATTTGCTACCTTTTAATAAAGTGAGCTCCGACTGCCTCACTCACCAGACTAAACTTCAAATTATAAATTTCCTTAGTTCTTGACTAATTGGCACCGGGGTATTAACTCAGGTTGATAAAGTACATTGAATTAAAAAGAAGTGCCTGGACAACTGAGCCCTGAGCTATCGTGACTCAATATATATGAGGCACATTACAAAGTCATGCTTTTTAAAAAAGAACTATTTTCAGTAAACAATATGTATCGGGTTAAGATTGTTCTAATATGTTTTTATTGTTATATCTGGTAATTTTCAATTTAACAATTGTTTTTAAGGGAATTCACACAACATATAAAAAATATTCCAGTGCTTGGATTATCATGATATTATAAAGAACAAAAGCATGCTGGATAAACAGCTTATATTACTTCTTTACTTTTGGAATGGTCACGCAGGGATCTTCATCGCTGCACAAATGGGCAGGTCCATCCTGGGATGCACTATGATCTCACAGAAAACCAGTGTATAAAACTTTTTTTTATGTGAAAGTTGCCAAACAAGCAGACGGTTCACCTGATGCTAAGTGAATACCGCCACCCATGGACATCTGCTACAACCGAGGGTTGCAGATGGGTTGACAAACTTTTGAAAATTGGGCTGCGATTGGGCTCATTAAAAAGTGATAGTGTTATACTTTTGCATTTAGTTTGGTGAGTGAGGTAATTTCGGCCCACTTTATTGACAGGTGACAATGCAATTGTAACCCTACATTGGGTGTTGGAAATATCTATAGGTGGCAGTTATAAATTAACATTAGGTGAACTGCCATCTTGTCATCTTCTTACAAAAAAAAATTGCGTTAAATCCAAAAATATAGTGTTGGAAATAGTGTCAGCACACCATAACAAGCAAGTCCATACATTTTGTATACTCAACAAACATTACTAGCCATTATCATTTCTCTATACTGCTGTTTAGTTCTTGACAAATCTTATTCTTTAAACGATTAGATCTTATTCTTGTGTATATATATATAATCGGAATCTCGGAAACGGCTCCAGTGATTTTCATGAAGTTTAGTATGTGCGTAGATTCGGGGGCGAAAAATCGATCTAGCTATGTTTTATTTTTAGAAAATGTCCTTTTATGATTCGAATATGACAGTAAATTTCGCCGCAAAAAAAAAAATGTTATAATAGCTTGGTCGGTAATCGGACGGCCCCAAAACAGACGGCCGCGGTTCGTATCACGATGATTTACACATTTATTTTTTTAACTTTTTTTCCTATACCAGATTATTTTCTTTATTTTTTATTTTTTTTATTTCCAAAATACATGATTTACCAAAAAAAGGTCCTCCAGGTACTTTAGTAATTAAAAGCAAATAACATCATGTGATTGTGAAAATATACATAATTGTGAACAGTTTAGCTAAAAAATTAGATCCTGGTCAATACTTTAATGTCTGTTTTACTCTGCTTTTTATTAGTACAAAAATTTCCATTTGAAATAATCATAACACCATCCGATACCAATGTATGCTTTAACAATAAGTACAATTACATCATTGTACGTATTGTTATAAAACCTATTGTTACAAATATAAAAATTTACCGAGATATAGAAAACTTTAGGTACATATATTACATGGGCCTTCAAAAATGTGTCAATGCCTAAAATTTCTTGTCATTTTTATTATTAATTGATTTTTTATTTTTCCATTGATAAGAATTTAATAAAAGTTTGTAATGGTGATAGTAAAACAGAGATGAGCAGATTAATGAAACAAATTTGTCCAGAATTATGTTAAGTTGTCAAGTTGAATAAAACTATTTTATGGATTTTATCAGGTTTAATTTTGGTTTTAAATGCCTTGTCTTTAGAACACACTGACCTTACCATGAATGTGATTGGAAGCATCAGGATCAAGAAAATAAATAAGTACTGTTAAACAATTTATCACAAAAATCAAGGTTAAACATTGTAAAATAATATTTGCCCTTAAAATTTGCAAAAGATTAATGAATAATATGAATATATTAAAAATTGTACAAATTTTTGATATCTTTGATACCTTCTTAGAAATTCTTAGCTTTGGATTATGTTGGCAAGAAACAAACCTTTCTTATAAAAAAAATTACTAAATTATACTTAAAACTGTTTCTTTGGTTTATATGGCACATTGAATAATTATTGAACATTTGTGCAATGGAAATAATTATTGAAAAATGATGATGAAATGTTCAACTTTAATAGCAATTGAAAAAAGTTTAAGACCGAAATTTTATTTGCTATTTATATTTCGGTTAAACAATATTTTATTTAACCCAATATTATAGGACAAATACATTTTGTATTATACTTACCGAACTTAATATACACTAAATATCATGATTCAGTGTTGACTTTTTGCGTACAATAAAGGTATTATCATAGGATTTATAAAAAAATATCCTAAATGGAAGTTAGTTCCTAAATGAAAAACCTATGTTATTTTTTTCCTTTGTTCTTTGTTACTAAATAACAGAATGTCCGGGCTCGTCATAAAAAAGTTATATCAAAAAAAGGTTTTTGAAGTCACAAAATGTCCTTCTACCATATAGTTCGCTAAAGACAAAGAAATTATGAAATAAATTTAAGATACCCGATAAATACGTGCTGAAAGTTCTAGGACTACTTACCCACAGAAAAAGATTCAGTGTGGTTTGAAAACTGGACCAGTCACCTTAGTTTATTAAACACATCGATTCTCAAATACGACGTAATAAAACTAAAAAGCTATCGCATTTGTCGTAATGAACGACAAAACGTAAAATCGATTATTACTTTACTCAGCAAGAATTTTCTTTAGTATGATAATGTAACAACTCTCAGTTCACAAAATGTCACTGGCTCAAAATGAAATGACACTGTTCAATTTTGACCCATTATAATTTTCACTGATTTTTAAACACTCGAAACAAAAACAGCTGGCTGATACCAACGCGTATTTTTTCTCATTCTTTTCCACAGTGGACACAGAGTAACAGATAACTAAGTATAAAAGAGAATATATACATACGAAAGATTACCATCCTCTACTGTAGTACAAAAAAAAACCGGTATTAAGTATTTAATACGATTTAAGAGGTACATAGAAAACTAAAAAGTATACCATTATTTCTTAGATTTAAGAGGTACATAGAAAACTAAAAAGTATACCATTATTTCTTAGATTTTAAATATGCATCTAAATAGATACTTAGAAAATAAATATTTTTAAGTAATTATTTAATGTGGATAGGGTGATATATTTTGGCTTGAGCACGTTGAGCTGTAACTGCATAACTTAGTTTGTATCCCGAATCCGAATTCAATGGGATTGAGTTGAGATTTGGACTGTTGGCAGGCCATGGCAAATGGCACAATACGTGTATAGGTACCATATTTGTCTAAGGCTTCTTTGGTGGATTAAGATTTATAAGCACGTGCTTATTCTAGCTACTTCTCAGTGCGAATGATCTAATCATATCCTCAATGTATCACTGATCCGTTATCGAAGGCACGATTACGATTGAAGATTATGAGCCCGGCTCTACCCGATAGATTCCTCACAAGACTATTACAATGTGGAAAATCACTCACGCACCCGTCTACAAAATCTAATGCGACGGTCATAACTAAAAAAAAATATATATTTTGCGTTCATCTGTGAACATTACTGAGCTCTAATCACTTGTGTCCCCGTCCTTGTACTGCCGTACAAACGATAATCGGTTTGCACGATGTGATCTTGTCAAAAAACCGTACTACCTGCATCCTTCATGGAAGCGATTTCTAATCGTTTGGTCATTAACGCGGGCGACCATCACCTGGCGCCACCGGTTTTGGGAGCGTGCGTTCGTGAATCGCTCTTCCTGTGAGGTGGTTGCTCAAATTCTGCCACACCCCTGTCTCGACTTGTCTGTTGTAATATAGTTACGGTTATAGTTCTCAGCTGAACGCAAAAGAAAAAAAATTCACTTACTCAGCAAAAGGTCTGTTCTCGAAGAAATGCATACTTTAAATGATTCAAAAAGTTGTCTTAAAACAGGGTAGGTGTTAGACGGCGGTAGGGCTAAGCAATTGTCTTCGCTGTTGCACGAATGGACAAGTCCGTCCAGGTAAGTACACCGACCTTCCAGAAGACCGGTGTGAAGTTGAAGTGTTATACTTCTACTGAGTATGGTGAGTGAGGTAACCGGGGCCCATTTTATCAAAAAGAGACAACGCATCTGTACCTGATTATCACTTAAAATCAGGTGAACCTCGTTTGTCATCTCATCACATAAAAAACGGTAGAATTAAGTAGTTACAAAAAATCATCACAGTCTACTCACTTATAGAAAAATGCGCGTAAAATTAGTGGGTTTCGAGTGATAAACTCACATAATGTTCTTAATATCGCATCTTCTTAGACATTACATTAAATTTAATTCATTTAAGTACTGAAATACGTCCCCAAATTCTTATCATTATGTAGAATGTATAAAAAATAAATAAATAAATAAACGATAGGTATAGTTTAAAAAATATTTAATGTCTACAGTAAAATTATTTATTGCATGTTTATTCAATGAGTATCTAGGTACATATCATCACTTGTTAAGCACAAATTTTTCAATATTTCTGAAGGTGATGGTATATTTTTATCATTAATAGGCACAGAATCAATAAAGTCCTCAATATTAGATGGAAATATTTCGTAATTTTTGCTATCTGTCACATTTATATTCATTATTTCTTTTGCGGGATTAGTATCATTTACTTGATTTGGATTTTGGTTTGTTTCATTAAGAGCTTCGGCTATGATTGAAAAACTATCAGACTCCATATCCTCCAGTGATAATTTTGCTCCTGAGCGAACTAGCTCCGCATTAGCTTCGATACTTCCACATAATTCGTATTATCATTATACTTTGGGATTTTAGAAACAGTTTCGATTGCTCCAACGTTTTTCTTTTTAAGTTTTTCCACTAAATCGCCGGACTGTCGGATAACAGTCCCCGGCGGTTGTGCTTGACACTTATGAGTTCTTTGAGATACCTGGAACGTTTTGAAATAAAGTACTGAGGGGGTCAGATATTAAAGTTTGTCAAACACGAATAGGAAATATATTGGAGTTTTCTAGGACAATGAAATGCAAATGAATTTATTTTTTATCCCATAGAAGAAAATATTTAACATCCGATTCGGCAAATGTCCGATTGCAATATGAAGCCTGTGCAAGACAATTGAAGCCAAGATCGAGTGTATAGGCTTCTACTGAGTTAGCGAGCTGACTACCGAAGACTATCATCCACTTCTCATTAGGTCATGGACTCATGGTAATCAAACAGTAGCCAGTCATTGATACAAAATATGAAATTAACGTAGAATATTTGACACATTTTCATCTTTTAACGTTGTTGCGAAACAAATATTGTTTTTGTTTTTGCTAAGTTAATAAACAAATAAATGTCTTACTTTATATCGAAAGCTTTTCTCACAGGCTGTACACTTGTAAGGCATAGCACCGGTATGTATTCTTCGATGTACTAAATAGGATACCCTCTGGCGAAAACATTTTCCTGAAATAAAAAAAAAAAACTTGTAAATATTTTATCGGTCAATAAAGTATTAGAACAATTTCGTTTGTTGAACGTAAAAATTAACAAAATTTACGTACCGCACGTCTCACAGGAGAACGGCTTTTCACCCGTGTGGATACGCTGATGATTGTGTAAGGTAGATAATTCTTTAAAAGCTCGCCCGCAATAGTTGCAAATATGTGGTTTTTCGTCATTGTGATACAGAAGATGTTTATGGTATGATTGTTGAAATGTAAATGTTTTATTACATTGTTTACACGCGTATGGAGTTTCGCCTGCGAAAAAGAAAATGGAAAATATTAATAAACTAACACAAGTTTTGTTTTTAAGCTAAGACAGTGTTAACGAAAGGAAAAAAACATATAATTCAGCAATGAAGCGCAATGATTAATGGCGCTGGTTAAAGGTAAGTGCGCTTTATGAAGTATGAACCAGCGAAGCTCTTAAAATGGAAATATAGTTGCAATAAACTGAATAATGATTTAAACATTCTGTTAGTAGTATTACCTCAAATGAACACCAATATGTTTAACCTGTATGAAGTCGTTTATGTTTCTTTAGAAAATACTTCGTTGTAAAACTTTTACGACAAACATCGCATTGCCATTGTTTTCCATCGTTTCGCCCTACAGGTAGAGGTTTTTCTTCTGTTGTGGCCTTTTTCTCTGTATTGTCTGTTGTACTATCTGTTGAAGGTACGGATGAAAAACCGTAGTGAGCGACTCTTAGGTGTACCATTAAGGAACCTCGCATCTTGAAGTTTTTAGGGCATAAATGACAATTATATTTTGTATAATCAATATCCGTTTGCTCATTAAGGTTGTGCAATAGGCATTTGTGCATTTTCAAAATGTCGGAATCAACGAAATGCAAGCCGCATATATTACATTTAGTCTCGTTTGTTATAAGTCTAGTTTCTACTTTTACGTTAGGGGCGTATACCGAATTATTATTAGTCTGTACGCTTGCATCGGCAGGACTTTGTGATATATCTATAATTGGAACTGTATTCAAAGCTATCACTGGCAGTTTTGGATATATCTTAACAAATTTAACAGGAGTGGAAGCTGTTGTTGCTTTATTTTTAGCTGCGGTCGTTCTGATTTTCTTCTGCGTTGTTGGAGTCATTGGACTTCCTTGCTTTTTCTCATTCTTCGACATTGTCTTTCCCACAATTTGTGGAGGTTCTTTTGACGATAATGCCTGTATATGACTAAATAAATGTATTGTAAGTTTATCCAATCCCGTTATGGATTCTTGACATATTGGGCACAATATGTTATTGGTTGACACGTATATTAGTCTATCTTTTAATTCTTGTGCGGAGTCGAAAACACCAGTATGTAAACATATTGGGCACGGCAATGATGCTGCATAGGCAGTCATTTTATTAAATTTAACTAATTTCGGCAGCAGCAATGTGCTGCTGCGATAGCGCGAAACTGAACCACTGACGATCTATTTTTAGAGGACCGAGTGTATTCTTTTGGCGCCATTTCAAGAAATTTACGATGATGAAATCAAGGGCGGATCCAGGGGGGGGGGGGTCATGGGGGTCATGACCCCCCCCTGGGATGGGTCCAGGACCTAGGGGGACCACTAATTAAAATTGTTAAACATAATGTTTTTATATTTTTTGCCACAATATACATTTTATATAACTAACTTCAATATTTAAGTAATTAATATAATATTTTAACCGACTTCAAAAGGAGGAGTTTCTCAATTCGATTGTTACATTTTTTTTCTATGTATGTACACCGATTACGTTGAGATTTATGATCCGATTTACGTGATTCTTCTTTAGTTTGATGCAGAATAGTTTCCATTTGGTCCCATAAAAATTTACCATAGTTTGGCCAAGTAGTTTTCATTTTATGAACATTTTACAATATTTTAATGTTTTTTTTTTATGTGAAAAGTTGTCAAACGAGCAGACGGTTCACCTGATGTTAAGTGAATACCGCCACCCATAGACATCTGCTACACCCGAGGGTTTGCAGATGCGTTGACAACCTTTTGAAAATTGGGCTCCGGTCACCTCACTCACCAGACGAAACGCGAAATTATTATACTTTCACTTTACGCCGGTCTTCTGTGAGGTCGTGTTACTTACTCGGACGAGCCTGCCCATTCGTGCAACAGCCGAGGCTGCTGCGTAGCCCTACCACCGTTCACCGTTTGTCATCAAATCTTGCAAATTAAATTTGATTCTACATCCCGGTTACCGGTTGAGCTGAAATTTGTATGTGTTTGTGTAAATCGCGAGACAATGCAATATTTTTATGACATGGTGCTGATCTGATGATGGAGCTGGAAGGTGGCCAAAGAAACTTCGCAATGAAACGACAGAGCCTCATTACGTTTGGGTACATTTGAATCGTATTGACGAGTAGTTTGTCTTTCATTGGTAACCAGGATCTGATGTTGGAGCTCCATCTTCAGCCGTCCATGGACATATGCATAGGGTTGCAGATGCGTTTTCTCCTTATAATAAACTGGGCTCCGGCTACCTCACTCACGAGACAAAACGCAGAAGTACTTTACGCCGATCTTTTGTGTGGTCTATGAGGCTATTCTGTGATGCTTATGACCGCTCTGTAATGAAACAACTCAACCCCATCGAGTTTCGGCTCGTTTGATTCGTCTTCGAGTTCTTTGGTGCTAGATGGTAACCAGGGTCTAATGACAGAGCTGGAATGTGGCCATCGAAACTCACTAATTAAGGAACACAACTGCTTCGAGTTTGATTCATCTTAATGGGTGGACCGTTTTGGATGGGTGGTGAGAGGTGGTCGTTTAATGGACGTGAGTATGCGATCCCATTTTTGGGAAATAAAGTTTGTTCGTACCATTTGTTATGAATGTGGATTCTGTCTTTGATTAGAGGGATGAGCGCTAAATATTATGAATGAATGAATGAATGACTGAATATTTTTTTTGTTATTTATGAACATTTTTTTTTTCGTGGACGATGTAATTTTAGTTTGTATACTGGCTATTTTAGGAGTTTTCATTTGGGTTGATTATTAACCCGTGTCCCGATAGTCCCAGTCATTGTGGAGTCAGCGTGCGGAGTAGAGGAATTGAAAAAAATTATAACCAATACGGCTACACAAAATCTGATAACGAAGAAATAAATAAAAAGAAATTTCAAAAATAACTAAGCCTACCAATAGCTACTTAAAAAAATACTATACTGGGCGGCTTTTCTAAGTGGATCGATCCAAAAGTATAAAACGCAGTTATGAATGACTACCGCATTGTCAATAAGTTGTGTTTTTAGGGAATAGAATACCATTTTTTTTAAAAAAAACAGTTTGTTTTAATTTCTATAAACGATTTTACACCTCCTGCGTGAATTTGGGCACCTTTATAAAATCCACCCTGTATAATATATGATAATAAAAAGCAACGAAATGTTACGAACGTAAAAAGAATTTTGCAAATCCGTCTATATATGACGAAGTTATGCCCGAACATACATAAAAAAATAAACAACCGAATTGATAACCTCCTTCTTATTGAAGTCGGTTAAAAATATTTATTTTTTACTTGTGTCTATGATTATAAAAATTAAATTATAACTTCTTATCACTTGACCACGACTACGTGACCCCCCCCCTGGCACCATAGCTGGATCCGCCCTTGGATGAAATACATCAATAATGTAAACATTACACATATTTTTTTATAATAAGTAATTAAAACGGGGTTTTCCTAATAAAGTCCTATATTTATAATACTTTACAGCTTTCTTCCATAGAGCAACACAACACTTCATAATTATGTAGAGGTACTGAAATAACCCAGAGTTAAAAAAAATTCTTAGGTAAGAAAGGCGTTTGAATCACAGTTTTTTTGTACGAAAGGATATGGCAAAAAAGCAGGAGGTACACCGAATTTTAAGTGATTACCGTTAATACGTACGATACGTCTACAACACCTGCAATTCTGTAGCCAATCTTAAAGACATCCTGTTTCGAAATACAAAAGTTTAATACAATAACCACTTACTTCATTTTACGTTAGCCTCCTGTGAGAGGAAGGTATTGTCACAAACACGAACAGTCTATAAATACAAAAAAAGAAGTAAATAAAAGCTGCTGCAATAATATACTCCACCAGAATGTCATATGAAAAAATAATGTTCTCATACAAACAGGGGATGTTTCTTGGATGCAAACTACCGTACACAAGATCAACTATCTTAGCGGATGATGGTAGCATATAATTTAATAAATTGTTCTTTTTTTTTACCCATTTTCTTCATTACAACCAGTTTGATTCATGTTTTTATCCTTTAAGATTAATATAAATCATGTTAACGGACAGAACCCTATATACAAAAGTACTCTGTGGACAGAACTTTCTATCGTCGTCAATGACTAGTGGTGCTTGTCATAAGTATAAGTAATAAATAAAAAAGCATAGCATAGGTCAATTTCATCTTTTCAACCGACATCAAAAAAGGAGGAGGTTCTGTATTCGATTTTTATTTCGACTGAGTGAACTGATTTTGATGATTCTTTTTTTATTTGAAAGCTGGTGCTTCCTATGTGGTCTCATATTAATTTCATTGGTATTGGATCAGTGGCTCCGGAGGTACGTAGGGAACTCCTGAAAGTCAATTAAAAGTAAAATGAATACATTGCGTGATGTTTGAAGTCGGTTTAGTTTTTCGTTAATAAAAAAAAATGACTTGTGTCAAATATATTTGCACAAAACTAGCTTTGTATTAAACTAGTTTAATCATTAGTTAAAAAAATAATGGACGAGTGAATTAAAATACTGACTAGGTATCATTAAGAAACTAGCTATTTTTGTATAAGTACTTACTTTTTCATGCAATCGGTTTTCATTATTTTCATTAAGTACCCATCAATGTTATTACATTAAGAATTATAACCGATAGAAATAAAACTAGCGCAAAAACTAATACTGTGTTATTTTTACTTTATACTATCCTTACTGATATTATAAACGCGAAACTTTATGTATGGATGTAAAGTAACAGTCTATAAAAGTTCTACTGCTGGACCAAGGCCTCCTCTGTAAAAGGGGTTTCAGGGCATAAGTCCACCACGCGACCCCACTGCGGATTGGCGGACTTCACATATTTTCGATTTATTTTTTTAATTATTATTTCTAAAATATGCAGGTTTCCTCACGATCTTGTCCTTCACCGCTGACACGTGATAAGTCTGCACTTAAAATTAACAATTTCATTGTTAATTTTAAGTGCCGGCACCGGGGATCGAACTCATGTTGCTCGAGTAAATGTAATTGAAGGCGCACTGAGCTATCACGGCTCTACATATATGTATGGATGTTTTTAATGAAACTTTAGAATAATATAGGGTATACATCAGAATAAGATATAGTATATAATTTATAAACAATTTAAAACAAATTTTCCAAAAAGGTTGTCAACGCATCTGCAAACCCTCGGGTGTAGCAGATGTCTATGGGCGGCGGTATTCACTTAACATCAGGTGAATCGTCTGCTCGTTTGGCAACTTTTCACATAAAAAAAAAAAAAAAAAAATAAACATGCAATGGTCTCTCAAAGTAACTCTGTCTGTGACGACTAAACCGCAGAAGCATTTTTGATGAATTTTGGTATAAAGATTGATAGGACCTTGGAGAAGAAAATAAGCTACTCGAAGTACTAATCCTTCGTAGACGAAGTCACGTGCACCAGCTAGTTTATTTATACATAATTATGTAATGTTATTATGTAGTACCGTATATTTACGTGTGTTTCTTTTAATTGAACATTGATATATGAATGAATTTTTGTTCGTTAGTCTGGCTAAAAGTCGAGAACGGCTGGACCGATTTGCCTAATTTTGGTTTTGAAATATTTGTGGCAGTCCAGGGAAGGTTTAAACGATGAGAAATAATGGAAAAATTGCATGGAAAATCAAAATAGCAACAATTTTATTTTCCCCATGCAAACTGTTCTTACCTGTTAAACATTTTTAGCGTGCGTTCCGAAAATTATTTTTCTGTGTTCAGATACATAAATTTCCTAAAAATAATTTATATGGCAAAACAATGTTTGCCAGGTAGTTAGAAATATAAATAAGTATTAAGTGCTGAATTTATATTGACGTAAAGTTTTGATTCAACAAAAACATGTTGAATATTCTCAAATTTCCCATGAGTTTTTTACATTTTACACTTTGACTTTGTTCAGCATGTTAAGTATTGTCATGTTATTGTGATGGGGACAATGGAATGTCCATTGCCCCATCACGTGTGCGATTAATTGTGACTAGTTATACCACACGAAGAACACAGTCACCATTCATCTAGACGTGCCATTAAAAAAAAGCAATGAATACAAATGCTTCAAGTGCCTTAAATAAACTTTATATTACAAGTAATTTAAGTTTACATTATCTGCAATCATAATCTATTAAATCTTTCAATTTGTGTTAAAGGATCAATTCTGGAATTCTCTGTAATTAACTAGAAGTAGTAAGGCGGAAGTGGGACTTTTGAGAGTGTAGAGATAATAAGTATTTATTATCGTATAGGTGAATTAATTGTTTATACAAAAAAGGTGAAAAAAGTATTTATACAAAATTTATAATGTAAGGTATTCTAAATCTTTATTCAGTATAGAAGCATTACACTTACTTATTAATTGTCAAGTTGTGCACCAGCTTCGTTGTCTTCTCGTGATTCCGTATTCCATTCCCACGCATTTCTTTCAATATATACGGCCATGCGGCAGCCTCGGCTGTTGCACGAATAGGCAGGCTCGTCCGGTTAAGTACGATGACCTCACAGAAGACCGACATCAAGTGGAAGTATCATACTTTCGCGTTTCGCCTGGTGAGTGAGGTTGCCAATTTCCAAAAGGTTGTCAACGCATTTGCAACCCTTGGGTGTAGCAGATGTCCATGGGCGGCGGTATTCACTTAACATCAGGTGAACCGTCTGCACGCTTGGCAACTTTTCACATAAAAAAAATATCGCTGTCGCAGCCGCTGGGCGTCACACAGGATTTTAAATAACTTTACTCTTTGTTACACAGCGCATTAGACTTCTCACCAAAGCAGTAAACCCACGGAATAGAGAAAAATGTTTTTTCTATTCCGTGACTAGAGCTTAATGTCTATTGTCAAATAAAATCACTAACTGTCAAATAATAACACCAATTCGCTATTGGCCAATTAACAATTGTCAAGCATGTCATCTGTTGTTTGTTTGTTATGGTTTTTTAAATATGACATTGGATTGTTTGTTCGATTCGATTGGATTTTGGAATACGTTCGTTCGATTAAACGAGCTTCTTTTATGCTAATGCCAATGCTTTGCTTTTATTAATTAGTTTTATATCTTTATATTTTTAAAATGAACGACTCCGAAAAGGCGCCCGGTTATATGGCTCAATTGCTTGATGAACTTGGATGGAACCAAGGAACTAGAATTCCTTTGGCGGATCCTAATAATAGTAACTTAGAAACACTATTATTAGATAGGTAATTTTTCAATGTTCTTTATTGATAACAATAAATTTAAACTCTATTGTTATTGATTTTATAATTTTCTTTAAGGCAAAATGAAATACAGAAACTTAAAGAACAGCTTACTCTACAACTTCAAAAGCGAAATGATCTAAATAAATATAAAGAACATGTTCATACGGAGTACCAAGAAAATACCGTAAGCTTATTTTTTACATTAGTAAAATCAAATGTTTCATTTTCCGTAAGCAGCAAATTTAGCACTCATTTAAAATGTGCCCTAATGTCAGGTAATTCTGTACTTGAAAAAAAATATCTTGAAATGAAGTAGCATGAGCATGTTAATCAGCTTTACCTTGAACATAATCTAGGGCCACAGGAAGTACAGGGAAGTGACAAGCATGTATCTCCTTCTTGTTATGCATAATATTTGCCATGTACTTTACTACACATATTGATAGATTTCATTTGTTATGAAATTTTGGTTTTAAAACACTATCTTTTTCTAGCGTCTTCTGTTTGCTCAGAAGCAACAATTAGAGCAAGAAGTTAAACTGAAGCAATTGTCAAAAAATGAAGCTGATAGACTTGACAGAGATGTTGTTGACTCTAACAAACAGAGTACTTCCACAGCAAACAGGATTGACAGGCTGCAAAGTAAATTAAATTTTTCTGACTCCTCATTTGTTTTTTGTTTTGTATGTAATGTGAATTAATAGACATCAAATTTGTAATTTAGCGTTGTAAATACTTGCTATCAATATTTTAGCCATTCCATTTAATAGTTTATTAGTGTTCCACCAAGATGCATGTAAATGATTTGAACTTACTCATTGGGTTTTTGTATGTCAATTGTAGTTTGTTGAGCTTATATTACTGATGCTAAAACAATATGTATTTTATGCAAATTTAAATGAGAAGCACATTTCTTTATTGCTATTTTTTTACATACTACCTAGTAATGAGATTGGTTCCTTTTTTAGCATAAAAAGCGACATTTTATTTTACAGCAATAATTTTGAATTTCAGCCAGTATTGCAAAGCTGTTGAAAAAAGCGGACACTTTAAAAAGCGATGTGTGTGGCGAACGAGGCGCGTTGCAAGAATGGAGAGCTGCATTGGAAAGAAATGCTGGTGATATCGCCGCTATTGAACAATTTACCAAGCAGGACTTATCTAAGGCCAAAGTAATGTTTTTAGTGTCCCTTTGCGTATAGTTACTAAATTAGATTAAACATCTATATATTAAGTCACTGTACAATAAGCTAATTTATGATAAAACTTAATAATTCATTAAACTTAAAACATAATTTAATAATTAATTAGTGCATGAAAATGTTACATGGAGATGTAATGAATAAAGGTGTGTTGAGAATTTGGGTACTTTAAAGAAAAATATTCTAATTCATTATTCAACATATTCTAACATCATTCAATTGAAGAATATATTTATGTATGCCTATATTTTAATTTTCAACTCGCATGTCTATAACATATAGCAATTAATAGCAAGTTCCGCTTACTATTTGGTTCTTGATAATCCCTGTGTATATAATCTACATTGAAATGAATGATCCCAATGCATTAACCACATTAAAAGTTGTGGTATGTACTTTGTACCGACTCATTATGGTAAATAAGGGAGGAGTTTGTAGTAACTTTGGCTAGTAAGTACAATGGGTATGAAATGGAAGTGTTATACTTCAGTGTGATGCCTATTGGCCGCCTGCCTGACGTCAACCCTCCTTGGGGAATTAACAATCAGGTATGGAACAATTTTCTTTGTAAAATTTCGGTGTTTCATAAGAACCCGAAGGGTCTATGTAAATAAAGATATTTTGAATTTGAATTATCGGTGGCTCACACAAACATTTACCCTTGAACACATGACTCCCGACGCCGAATGCAATACCTTAGCATCGGTGCCAGTGAGTCTATAAACGGATTTACCTGCTGCGAATATTTTGACGTAAAAGCACTCATGTATTAACTTAATGCTTGGCTTTCAGGCTCTGGAGACGAAGAGAATGAAACTGAAACAAGAGCACGATCGCATACGCGACCGACTTAATCAGCTGGTGTCGAACCTGAGCGCCGAGGAACGAGCCTGCGAGAGGATCTCCGCACAGGTGGAATATTTCATCATTACAATACACTGAAACCTATGGCATCGTGTGTGACAAATATAACGATCTACCAAACCGAAATTAGCCGCTTCTCTCTTTCTTACGGTCCATGTACAATATTTGTCGCAGAGTACTATAATAAGTGAGTAATGCAGCACTTTTTTAATTACTTTCCTGTTTGTAGGTGATGGAAGGTATGGAGGAAAGGAAGCAGATGATGGCTATGTGGACAGGTGCCGTTGAGAATCTGCGACAACGCGATACGGACATCAGGCATATAAGAGAGGTTAGTATAAGTATAAGTTATTATTAATACTACCATGTAAATTCCCACTGCCGGGATGGGCAAAGGATTCCCTCTGATCTCTCAATTCCTCTCTGTTAGTTGGTATATTCACATCCGAGTCATAACGTCATCTTGTCCCGGATTCTAGCCCGACGAAAATGATACTAGGTTGGGGCCCATATTGGTCATTAAATACATCATAGTTTCCTATTTCCTTAGCTCTGTTCATCTTTTGGGCTATATTTGATTTGTACGGTCCTGCAGCATTTATTGTGGTAGAGACTTGTAGAGGTTATTAATTCCGTGTTTGACTTGACTAGGAAAGTGCCAAGGCCTCATGGAAAACTGGCATAAAGCAGAAGAGTTTGTACTTTTGTCTTCTGCTTAGTGAGTGAGGTGACCGAAACCCTATTCTCGCAGATAAAGGAACTGTTTTCACATTGCATTGTTTGTACTCTACAGTTTGATAGTAGTTAGTGATGTTGGAATGGGGATCAAAAAGTAAATGAAGGCTTTTTAAATTGGTTGGAGTTTGGAAAGTTTTTAAGTAGTGGTAAAATCGGTTGTCGATATATTAGGCTTTAAAGAGTAGCGTATGTATGCCCGTGTATCTGTAAATGTAAAGATGCGGAAGAAGCCAAAGAGACATGTTTACTCCATAATCCATTGAATAATAATATTTATTATTATGTTATATATTGCCTTATTCTATATGCACAACAAAATAATGCATTACAAAGACGGACATAATGCCATGAGCATTATCTAAAATTCAACTTTAGCAATCCTATTTTTATTTTCTCCTTAATCCTAACTTTACTATTGTTTTCTATTTTTCTTATTATTTTATCTTTTCTATTACGATTGCTGTTGATATAACTATTAGATAATTCCTTATTGTTTTCTATTAGGTACCATTGATTTTTTAACATGATAAGAAACTATTCTCGTACCGTTTTTTTTGTACTAACTGTACATTTTGTTGCTACAGTTCTCTCACTCCTACATTTGTAGACCTTATAATAGTATATTAATATTAAACCATAAATTCTATTTATCTAAAATTTATTTCTAACTGGAACCTTTACCCTTTATAACTATTGATTTTATTGCATACAGTAATCCTATTAACGTAATTTTTTAAAAGTCAACTTTACGCGTATTCACAAAAGTGTCAATTTCGCAGGACTATGCCGTGCTGGAGGCGGAGGCGAACGCTCTGGCGGAGCAGTGTCGCGAGCAGCAGTCGTTCTGCGACCAGCAGGCCGCCAACAACGCTGAAGCGACGAGGGACAATCTGAATCTGTCGCAGCGGCTCAGCTCGACGCGCCTGCGCCTACAGCAGACCGGCGAGGAGAACGTCGCTTTGGACAGCGAGGTCGCCGTCTCTTTCTGACACGCGCTCACCTGCTACGCCCGTCTCTGTCTTCGTAAAGCGCATGTGCACGCGCCTGCTGTATAAGGGATTGTCGGCTACCAAAGAATTGATTGTCTTTGTTCAAGGTTCATAGGTCACGGTCTGCAAAATATTCTCTGCCTAATCGCCAACACATCTGCGGCCTCACAGGTGTTGTAGGTGTCCATGGGCGGTGTAATTATGTGGATTCCTTGCTTTTTCACCACTTAAAAAAATAAAAAAGAATCATTCCTACTCTCCTGTTAGCGGTGAGACGTGAGCTATGCTTTTTTTATAACAAAACTTCTAGAAAGAAAAATTGCTCAAACCTACCATAGGTATACGTATATACACTGACATGACGCCCTACGGTGGTAGGGCCACGCTGCAGCTTCGGCTATTGCACGAATGGGCAGGCTCGTCCGGGTAAGTACCACGGCCTCACCGACGCGCGTAAAGACTGGCGTAAAGTGGAAGTATAATACGTTCGCGTTTCGTGTGGTGAGTGAGGTTGCCGAATCCCAATTTTCAAAGGTTGTCAACGCATCTGGAAACCTCGGGTTTAGCAGAAGTCCATGGGCGGCGGTATTCACTTAACATCAGGTGAAGAGGGTTCACCGCTCGCTTGGCTACTTTTCACAATAAAAAAATGTTAAACGAAAGAAAGATTGAATCTTATAACGTTGCTTGCATCAGCCGTCAATTTCTTATCTACTATTTAGACTTCTGCATGACATGGGCACTTGAAGGTTTCAAAGACCACACAAGGTTTCCCTCCCACAACACTCCACACACGTGGAGCATTAACGCTCAACACGCCCTAGTTCGTCCCCAACGGGTATTCACACTGCGTACATTCGTTTCCGGGGCGCTTCACCGGTCCCTGCGGATACGAACGGATTACACAGTTGACAGTCCGCTATGCCCAGTTCCGCATACCGGATAGCCGTCAAACCCTTAATTTTGTTAATTCACGTAAGTAACTTGGGTATGCTTAAGTAGGGTCTATGCCTGATGCAGGTTTTGCATAGTCTGCTCATTGAAATTGCAAATATCAATCAACTAACAAACATAATTTTATAAGACGTGATGCTTATATTATAAAAATTTTTCGTTTAGTACTTGGAAAATTTACGACTGGACTCTTGGACAATTGACTCGACAGACACACTGCATGTTTGATGCTGAAGAGTATACCAAGTTCATCTGACCAAAAGTAAATTATTTTTATTTGGTATTACAGGCGAAGAGCATGCAGAGAGAATTGAGTAACATGCGCAACACGCTGGAGAAGCTGCGAATGGAGAACCGGGAGATATTCGATGAGCAACACCGCAGGGATGTTGAGCTGAAGAACCTCGTTGAGAAGGTAATTTATGCTTTATTTTCCTGGGCATTATGGAGCTCTGTAACAGCATTATAAATAAACTGGCTTACAAGCTTTACTAAATATGTTATAAATAAACTCACTTGTATGAGCGAGAGCGAGGCACGATTTTTATGATTTTTACTAGCAAGATTTTAATGAAAATTTAATTTTTCTGTTTTATCCTTCGGACTATGGCTAAATAATTTAGGTGCACACATATATGAAAACAATTTACTAATTTATACATCCTTTAAAAGTACCAAAAATTTGTTCAATGTAAAATTAATAGTGTTTTTATGGTTAATTTTGTGTTGTGAAGTGAAATTATCTTTTTGTGTTATTTTAATTACTTAATTGAATACTTGATGACTTTGAATTTTAGATCAGGGAACTCAAAGAAAAACTGCTAGAGTCCACTGACAAAAGTAAAAGTTCCGAAAAGAGAGCGAAGGAGCTGGAGGACATGCTAAATGTAAGTCATTTAATATTTTATTGCTAACTTTATTTAGGCACGACCCACGAATAGTATATTTTTGTATGTGTACAAATAGTGTCCTTAGAAATGGGTTTGTTTATTAAGTGAGGAAGTCCAGTACATGGAGCATATTGTCGGGTTGCAGATATATTGAATTGTTGTGATATAATTATTATACTGAACTGAACTGGACTTTTCATATACTAGCATAATTTTATTTTTTCAATGAGAAAGTATTTGCAGCGTATTCACTAAGCGTTTTTCGCTGAGTGACCACGCTCCGTAAATAAAGAAAACCGAACAAATGAGGACGCAAAGTTATAAAAGTTATATTTAAGTACTTGTAAATAAATTTATTAGCGTTATTTTGGGTCTTTCTCCATACTCTACTTTTAAAGTACCGTTAATGTAAACTATAAAAATTTAAATGGATTTTTCTACCATAACCGAAAAGTAACGAAACTTTCGAGATTTTAATATTGACGGTGGGGTATAAGAGAGGAGAGAGGGAAAGAGGAGTCAAGGGTAGAGGAGGGGTAGAGACTATTACCTCCACGGAAATCAGTAAACAATCTATTTCAATTGGGACGTCGAAAGTGAAGAAATATATCGATGTATTGATTCAGGAAAATATCAATATCGGTCTCGATATATATCGCGATATATCGATATATATCGGATATGGGTCAAAAACAAGATATCGAGTATTAAATATTTGATCCGATTGGGTTTTGAATAAATATCGTTTTATGTTTCGATATATCGGACCCACTGAAAATATCGATATACACAATAAAAAATATCGATATATCGATATTTTTTCGACATCCCTAATTTGAGCTGCTTACGAGTGTGAACTTCACAGGATGAGGAACGCTACGCCAGCCAGGTGACCCAGAGCCAGCAGCGTGTGATGCACTGCTCATTCGTTGAGAACCAGAAGCTTTTGGAGCTCAAAAACGAGGAGAAGCTGTTTAATATGCAACTGAAAGGTATGTTATCTATGTGAAAAGAGTTTAATCATCAGGCGGCATTTACTGGTTAACCTAAACCACTTTTTACTGTTCTTAAAGGTTTTTGAATAAAATAAAATAGGTGGTAAGTGCATAGCATTTGATATCTCACACTACTCCGTTACAGGTCAAAAGTGGCAGTACTGTTTTTTGTCTTTTTGTTTTTTCTGTAGGTATATATGTTTGATGTATATTTGCACACACATCCGCAGTGTCTAGGGTTTAGGGTGATTTTGATGATTTTTTGAATATATTATTAAAATTAACATAATTTTGTATTTTGTGTGTAGTTTGTGTGTTGTGATAGGGAGCGACAATACGCCTCCTGTATTCTAACATTCTAATAGCCATAGCAGTGCCAAGTACATACTTCGAACATTCCTGTGACTCCATTAATACTTATGGACTGATATTGGTCTCGTATAACTCGTTGCAGGATTATACAGGAGTAAGACTTCCAGAAGAACAGTATTTAAGTTCTAGAGTTTCGGTAACAGTATCGAAACTCTAGAACTCTTCCGTTTCCAAATTAAAAAAAATATTATAAAGACGCTTAGAGTAATTTGTAAAAATCTTACCGATTCTTAGATATACTTTTGATGTCTGTACATTTAAAGTTTATTTATTTGCTAAAAATTGGTCTATAGAGTTTCTTGGACCATATAAATCTCTGCTCAACAAAACTTTATTATATTAGTTTGTTCATGTCAATTTCTCTTGCAGCATCAAAAGCGGTGATGAGTAAATTGGACACAAAACAGCGAAACATAGAGCGCAATCTGCAATCGCTGAAAGAGTCACTTTACGCTGTTGTAAGTGTTGCCTAACCTCTGCTTAATGTACAATACACTGCCGTTAAATTGATTTGTAAATTGTTTGTTCTTGTAGTTGTAACGCGTTCAAAACGTAAGAGAATTAAAAAAATTCATTGCGATCATTCGTTTATTAACTCTATTATACGTTTTTAATAAATTCTACACATATACATATGCATAGAAATTATTAAACAAATTCTCAAATTTAAGCAACCAACCAGCAGTTTTAACAAAAGCCAACATAAGAAAAACGTTAAAAACATTATATCCTTAAAAATAGTTCATTTTTGCTTGTATGATTACGTAATTATAAATTGAGTCTCTCAGAAACAATGGCTAGTCCAGATAAAAATATTAAGCAATTTTATAGTTTCTCTCTTCTTTTCTCGTTTTCTTTTATCTTCTTAATTGAGGTTATTCACTTAAGATTTTCTTTTAGTATTTGTGTATTCATAATTTATTAAAAAAAATAATTGACGATAGAATTCCTTAAAAAGATCTTACTTGTAGAATATGTATTTACATCAATTCTGATAATGTTAATTGACTTAACTCTATTGCTTTCTATGCCTCACAATTTGGGATAATTTTTCAGTGTTACCAAGTGGAGACCATTGGGTCGCGCGTTTGCCACATGGAGGGGGCACAGGCCGAGCGCGAGTGTTCTGCGGAACTCGCCGAGCGCGAGAACAGGTTTATAACGTTTTATCTATATTATGAACAGCATTTTAACTTTTTATCTATAGCTGTGGCCACGCAGCAGTTCGGCTATTGCACGAATGGGCTGGCTCGTCTGGGTAAGTACCACAACCTCACAGAAGACCGGCGTAAAGTGGAAGTATAATAAATACTTTCGGGTTTCGTCTTGTGAGTGAGGTAGCCGGAGCCCAATTTTCAAAAGGTCTGTCTGGTTCTAAGGTCAAAACCCTCGGGTGAAGCAGATGTCCATGGGCGGCGGTATTCACTTGACATCTGGTGAACCGCCTGCTCGCTTGGCAACTTTTCACATAAAAAAAAATAGTTCGGTGACAGCTTAGTGTCAAGGCTCGCTTGTGATTCAATTTACTCGAGCAACCCGAGCTCAAATCCCGGTGGTGGAATGTACCCACTTTACAGAGGAGATCTTTACCCAGTGGGAGTGGGACATATATAAACTGCAACTTTACTTACCTTTTTTTATTTATACTTTGGTATCACTACATTGCAGATTGTCCTTTCCGAGAACCCAACGTAATCGTGTTTTCTACATATAGTAGTATTCATAGTATTCCGATTTAATTACATTCAATATTAACCTTTTAAAAATATAGCTAGCTCCCGTATAGTATGAGTATTGAGAAAACTCATAGGAATGATTGCTTCAGTCCCATGTAAGATTAACTGCAACAGATTTTATGGTACACATATTTAAGAAAGATGTCAAGCGCGATGTCAGTGGAATGTGTCCACAAATTACCGCCCCCTAGTCTGCGCCCAATCTATCTGAGAGGGCGATTGAGATTTATTTAAGATTTCTTTTAATATTGGAGTCGCTATATAAAAATCGTTTAGCCGTCGCCATCTACATATTTCTATAAAAAAAAAAATATATGAACAATTTCGGGGGTGTTGGCTATTGAATTGTTCCCAAAGTGGGCGGTACACCGAAAAAGTTTGAGAAACACCGGTGTAAATGTACGTTCCGCAGACTGAAGGAGGTGTGCGCGCGGCATGCCGCCCGCGCCGCCCTCCTGGAGCGGCACGCGGCGCGCCTGAGCGACGACATGCGTCGCCTCACGAGGGACCTCGAAGCGAGGAGCGCCAACTACACCCGCCTGGTGAGCACGGGGACCGCTCGATGCCGACTTATTGCCGAATTAAATGCATTTTATTAAATGGTGGCAACGCATCTACAATCGCACGGGTGTCGCAAATGTCCAAGTGAAGCGCCAGTTCGCTTGCCATCTTATATTAAAAAAATCCAGTGCAGTCAAGGCAAATTTCGACCTCACCCAGCCCTTCCTAATTTCTAAATCCGTTCGCGTGTATACCGAAACCGTCTGAAGAGCGCGAAGCTGGCCATGACGAATAAAGAGGGAAGCGGTGAAGCTCCTATCCCAATTTCGACTCTACTGCCAAGTTTTTAATGTCTAAATACAGTCGCTTGCGCAGCGAAGCCGACTTAAGAGAATGGCCGCAGCGAGCGGGGACAGGGACGCGGTGGAGGCGCACGAGGCGTTAGGTCGTGCGCACCGCTGCTATCCCAATTTCGACCCTACTAGGTTGTTACTAAAATCTAAATTCGGTCGCGAGCGAAGCGGAGCCGGCAGAAGGGCGCGATGCTGGCCGTGAAGGGCGACGACAGGGACGCGGTGGAGGCGAACGAGGCGATAGGTCGTGCTCACCGCTGCTATCCCAATTTCAACTCTACTACTAAGTTGCTAACGTCTAAATTCGGTCGCGTGCGCAGCGGAGCCGGCTGAAGAGCGCGATGCTGGAGGTGACGGGCGGCGAGAAAGAGACAGCAGAGGCGCGCGATGCGTGGCGGCGGCTGCGCGTGGAGGAGGCGCTGCTGAGGCTGCGCGTGGCGCACGCGTCCCGCGCACTCGCCGGCCTCGACCGCGTCGCCTACACGCTCGACGAGCGCCGCCTGCAGCTCGACGCGGTCTGTCCTCATTACTTATATATCGATCTTTACATGTAGTCAATGCTATCCAGGGTGGTGGGGCCACGCGATCTTTACACATAATAATAGACACATAGACATAGAACTTATCTTATAAGTTGGGTGGTAGGGCCACGCAACAGTCTTCGCTGTTGCACGAATGGGCAGGTGGTCGCTGATACAGCCCAAATTTGGGAGGAACTCGCACTATTGCACAGTAGAAGGGTCATGCAACAGCAAAGCTGTGGCGAGAATGGGCAAACTTGCCGCGGGGACGAGCCATGGCCTTACAGAAGCCCGATGTGTATATTCATTCTGCGTTTCGTCCGGTCAGTGTGATAAATTTTAATATTTATCACACTATAATACCCACCAATTTTAACGGTCTGCAACGCATGTCTGTTGTAAATGGCCATGGTGTTGGTAATCGCTTAACATGAGGTGGTCGTCTGCTCACTTACTGCCATTTCTTGCCATACTCGATCTTATGGAATCCGTTGTCGCTAAGACTTCGAAAATCGATTGTAAACTTGTAAACCTTAAAGAAATGGCCCTTAATAAATTTACTGGCGGCAACGTATTTATAACCTCCATCAGGTGCGCCCCTTGCTTATTTACTCATTTCCATTAAAGGTAATTTCGGTTCCCCCAAACCAATGAATATTCGTTCAACGAAGAAGACTCCAATTGAGTATAGTCTTTACGTTACGTAGGTAAGTAGCAATATTATGGTGAGTGTTCCTTGTAGGCCATGCAAGAGAGGCTCGTGGAGATTGGCGCCCGGCGGGACATGTTCAGCGTGCAGAGGCGCGCTCTACTAGAGGAGTGCGGGAAGCTCCGCGGGGATATACGCGAGAGGAGCCAGCGCGTCGAGCAGCTCGTCAAGAGGTGATCTCACTTCTACTCCTCTGAGCCGGTATGAGCAGCTCTTTAAGATGTGATCTCGTTTCCACTTCACTAATTTGGATTGAGCAGCTCCCAAAGAGGTGACGTCTAGTCACTAGACACTACACAATTAAGTTTTTTTTAGGTTCTTTGAAATGAAAAATAAATGAATTCAGATTATGACGCGTGAACGAGTTGAAAGAAATTTATCGGTATAATTATGATAAAATTATTTGAATTTGCTTACGTTTGCAGACTTTGCGAGCCGTGATAGCTCAGTGTCCGGGCGCTCGCTTTTAATTCAATATACTCGAGCAACCTGAGTTCGATCCCCGATGCCGGCACCAATGAAGTTTTTAACTTTAAGTGCTGACTTATCACGTGCTCCGCGGTGAAGGAAAAAATCGTGAGGAAACCTGCATATTTTCGAAATAATACCAAAAAAAAAATATGTTTCGAAAATATTTGAAGTCCGCCAATCCGCAGTGGGGCCGCGTGGTGGACTATGCCCTGATACCCTCGGTATAGAGGAGGCCTTTGCCCAGCAGTGGGACATGTATAGGTTTTTACTTTTGCAGACTTTATAAAGATCATTTCCATTTCATACATTGATTTCCACATTTTCAGGCACGATATTTTCATTGCGTCACTGGGAAAGGACGATTCTGGCGAGCAGCTCAGTGTCACGTTTTTCAAGATAAAGGTATGTACTCTCTAATTATAATATGTGTTATTGTTAATTGTTTACGATAGGGGCACGCACGTTTTTCGTATACAAATAGTTCTAATTGATAGAGAAACAACCGAAACAATAATAACAAAGTAAAAAACATAACACCGTCATTTAACTTTTGAGAAAAAAATCTTGCATTGCTAAGGAACTCCTCCATAACATTGCGACTAATTATTAAAAAATATAAGTAAAAAAATAAATATTTTTTGTCAATAATTTTAAGAGGGAACTCACATTTTTCCTGTTTTCGAGAATACATTGATACTTACTTAAAAACATTATTTATTCATAAATTAAGATAAATTGCATTCAATATTTATTTATTCCAAACTGATATTTTGTTAGGTGTATATTTTGATATTTAAGGAGCGTAGCATTACTAATACAGTACTTCACTTAAAACATTATTATTTATAAATAAGATAAATTAGATTTAACATCTACTTGTTGCAAATTGATATATTATAGAGCCGTGATAGCTCAGTGTCCCGATTTAATTTAATATACTCAAACAACCCGAGTTTGATCACCGGTGCAGGAACCTATGAAATTTTTACGTGCTCAACGGTGAAAGAAAACAGTGAAAAAACATGCAAATTTTCGAACGAAGAAATATTTGGAAGGTATTTGAAGTCCGCCAATCCGCAGTGGAGCCGCCTGGACTATGCCCTAATACCCTCTGTACAGAGGAGGCCTTTGCCCAACAGAGGGATATGTAAAGGCTGTTATTTGACTTTTACTTTAGTTTATTATACAACATTGATAGGGTTGCGTTCGTTAGGTTTATTTTATTGAGGAGTCCGATCACGCATGAATATCGCGATGTGCGATGTTCACGCTCGATCACTGTACGAGTATTGGTATGTATATGTTATGGGTGGTATGGTCAACAGTGTTCAATGTTGCACGAATGGGCCCTGCCTATTCCGGGTAACACGACCTCACAGAAGACCGGCGCAGAGTAGAAGGTTTACACTTCTGCGTTTCGTCTGGTGAGTGAGGTAGTCAGGGCGCACGCAACGGGCGGCAACGCATTTGCAACCCTATGGGCGTTGCCAAAGTCCGTGGGCGGCGGTTATCACTTGACGTCGGGTGAACCGCCAGCTTGTTTGCCACTATTTAAAAAAAAAAAAAAAACTACGAGTCCAATGACCGATGACGGCGCCAGTTCGCGGCCGAGCGCGCCGAGCTGCGCGAGCGCGGCGCTCAGCTCGACGCCGAGATCGGGCGGCGCGAGCGCGACGTGTCCGCGTTGGAGGCCACGCTGCGCGTGGTGCACGCCGCGCACGCGCACTTCGTGAGGCGGGCGGCGCCGCCGGGCGATGACGGTGCGCGCGACATGCGCTTTTTTTTTTAAATCGGACGTTTGTTCTATATTGAAACTGCCTATACTGTTCGGACACGTTTTTTTTTATCATTGAACGTTTTCGTTCTGTAATCGAACTTTCTAGGTTTCTAATGTCGGATTGTGTAATGGTTTCACAGGCTACGCGAGGTGAAACCTCGCCTAGCCTGTGTTTTGAAGTAACACTTGTTTTGGCGCGTTCGGTAAAAAATATGAGAGGCCATTTTTTTTTTCTTAAATTTGTAGAAAAAAATCTGCTGTGGGAATCGAACCCACTTCTTCGGCATTCGCTAAGCTAAACGGCTGATTGCCATACCGACGAACATCTTAACGTGTTTTATCTACATTGTTTTTTTAGCATTTGAAATTTCATGCTTGACGCATCCATTGTTATATTCCAGCATACAAACAATTTCGAATATCGTTTTACAAAAAAATATTCAAAAAAGCATTTATTTTATTTAATTATCAGAGTATTACACAACCAAGCGTTACGGCTCGATCTCATTCAAAACCCACAAAATAAAGTGCTCAACGAGCCTAAAGAAATTTCATTTTAAAAATTAACCTTTTTATGTATATTTGCATTACCGTTATATTTAAAAAAAATATGCGATATACGCCGACGGACAGTGGCTTCGAGTGGCGTACAATGCCTACTAAGCGGCATGCATATGCATAGACCGTTACTTTACCGCGCACTTATCGCACATCCGTCCTTATGCAGTGCTTAAGGCAAACGTCCGCATCCATACAGCCCCCGAAGTGGCCGAGATCAACGAGCTGACGCAGCAGTACTACGAGAGGCGCGACGAGCTGAAGTCTCTGCACGCCAAGATGGCGGCCCTAGAGGGCGCGGTAAACGACGCGCGCTCCCAACTCACCGCCCTCGAGGACAAACACAAGCAACTGTCGGCAAGAGAGTGAGTCTCCGTTACAACAGTTCCCGCTGACGTAAACTGCCACATAGTCGCGCGATAATTTAGAATGATATTAAGACCGTTTTCGTAAGCGATTGTTGGTTAGAAACAGGTTACACTAATATTAATTTTGCTGAAGCTGTAAACGATCCATGATCCAAGATTTTGATTTTTTATCATCTTAGGACAGTTCACTTTTTGATTCGTCGTGAAGTTAATGTTGTTACTGTTGACTTTGTTAATATACAGGTTTGTCCCAGATGTCGAAGTCAAGCCGGAAACGGCTAATATGACCCGCCGCCTGTTTGACGTCAACCCTCCTTAGGTAAAAACAGAACAATTATCTGTGGATCTCACGAATAATAGTCCCGCGTGGCAATCGAACCCATGACCCCCGAAGCCGAACCCATAGCTTAGTATAGTCTTATTCCTCTTCTAGTATATCTTATTCCGTAGGTAGTAAGGTTCATATTAGCAAACAACTTTAAATCGCAACATATGCCTTCGAACAGGGCCGAGGCGGAATCGGAGCTGGAAAGCTTAAAGGAACACGCCCAACGTCAGGAGAACATGTTGCACAATGCACATGACGTCATCAAATCAAATCTCAAACGCGCCAAGAAGCTCTTCGACGACGCCGAGGAATGGCGCTTGTTTAAGGTACACAGTATATTCATTACGATAACTACAATTAACAGTCCACTGTAGGACTTGCAGACAATAGATTCGTTGTATTATTTTGCTCTGGTAGTACCGCACTGCTGCAGCTGTTGTTGCACGAATGAGCAGGTCCGTCCGGATAGCCACGACCTCGCAGAAGACCAGCGTGAAGTGGGAGTAGTACATTTTGCGTTTCTTTCGGGTGGTGCGGTAGCCGGGGCCCACCTTTTTAAAGGTTGCCAACGCATCAACATGGGCCATTCGTCTACACAACTCATCAGTCACCTGATGAAGTTAGCACATCACGCAGTAATAAATCGTGGCAGGACCACGCGACGGCTTCGGCTGTTGCACGAATGGGCTGGTCCGTCCGGGTAAGTACCACTACCACGCACAAAACCGGCGTGAAGTGGAACTGTTATTCTGCGTTTCGCATGGTGCGTGGACCCACTTTATTGAAAGGTGGCAACGCATCTGCAACCCTACGGGTGTTGAAAAAGTCCATGGCCGGCGTTTATCACTTAACATCAGATGAACCGCCTGCTCTCTTGCCGCCTTATCACATAGAAAATGGTCCTGATGAAGCGATGTTTTGTTAAAATTTAATTATCTTCCTCGATACACCCTGATCAACCTTTCAACAGAAAATGATATATTAGGGTTTCTTATAATAGTAAGACTACCGCATAAAAAGTAAAAAGCCATAAAATTGTGTAATCGGTTATAAACTAAGTAATATTTTATATAACTATGTCTTTCTTAAATTTTATATAGCTTATTAGTTTAATGCTTGAAATTTTAATGTCTTCGTTGATTTATAATGAAAATGTCTAAAATATAATATATAAAATGAAATATCACTATGTTGCAAATGAGTGTAGCTAAAATATGAGATGTTTAACATTATGTACCACCAAAATTATCAAAAATTAGTGATGAACATTAAGTAAGGTCTTTAAGAAGAACTTTAACCTAAGGCATAACTATGTATGCCTAATGACATATTCATCCGTGCGCTCAATATTCTATATGTATTACAATATAATAACATACGTAATACAATAACGTATGCGGTCACTACGTCTATTTGGAGGATTAACTGGAAAACTGATTTTTAATTTTGTACCTGAGCAAAGCTGGGACAGCTCGCTAATAAATAAGATGTCAATGATTGTTAGCTATACTTTGTTTTATCGAGCTAAGAAGGTAGAAATATAAATACTTTTACCAAATCACCGTAGTTTCACTTTGCACAACAATAACACTGGTATAATTACTTATTTTATCACTTTAATATCACTAATGAAACACCACTCTAAAGGCCCATTTACACGATGCCATTTTCTTGTACATACAAGAGCAATAATTGAATGCAATAAGTTGCACGCAATAATTGACCATCAAGAATTGTAAGCAAAAGTTTACACGCAGATATAGTAAAAAAAATTGAATGCGATTATTGTATGCAAGTCTTGACAGGAAATAATTGCAAAGGTCTTTTGTTTACACCAATGCAATTATGTCTAGGCGATTATTGCTTTCAAGTTTTGCCTTGTCTAAACACATGCTTGTATGTGCGTGTACAATTTATTGGCGTGTTGCTTCAAGTATTGCACGTATTTGCGTTGACAAATTTTTCATGCAAGTGTTGAACGTTTTACAAAGGGCTGTTTTTTTAAAAAAATGGCTCAATAATAAGTGTTCAAGTTAGATTATGCTGATTAAATATATTTCATTGAGATTTATTTATTATGATCCATATATTATTATTCATATTTTTATCCAACTTTTTTTACGGCCTTTTCTCAATATTTCTATCCTCAAAAGAACAGCAATGATTAAATACCCTCACTCATTGCACTAATTTTTGCAAAGTAAGAGAGAATGCAATTGAATACAAGAATTGCTTAAGAAATTATTGTGTGTGCTGTTTACACCAAGGAAAGTTTTGAAACAAAACTTGAAGCAAGTCTTGTTCAACAGTCAAGAATGTTATGTGCTGTTTAGACAATGCAACTCATTTATTGCTTCAATTTAATTGTATATAGCAGGCAAGAAACTTGCACCGTGTAAATGGGCCTTAACGATTTAATCTGTGATACTGATTGGACAGCACTATCTTGTATACTTCTTGTTGACAGCCGAAGAAGACAACGAAGACCACGAAATGCTTATTGCAGCTTCATTTATACCTCACAGAATGACACTTCTTTTAGTGTTGCCAACAACCTTAAGGAACGACTTTTTTAATGTTGCCAACATGTCTTTTTTATTTTCTATGTTATCTCTTATAGAACTTTTTTCATAACAAGTTTCAAAATATTACCAAATTTTGTTACGTTAATCGTACATATAAATGAACAATACATACGAGTACATGTGTATACTTATAAGTTCAATCTTTTTTTTTCTCTAAAGGTCACCTTGCAACGTTGTAATGTGATTCTGTTTTCACAGACTTCATCGCGATTAATTTAAATTTATTCTATCCCGCGGCAATGAATGCTGATAAGCATCCGAAACGTCTGGAATTTATCCGTTGTAATGTGTGGCGTTCGCTTAAATTCGGGACACCTTACTACTGTGGTGATTTTTCACGAACACCTGATAAATAAGCACTTTAACTTACCATATACTTTAATTGAGGTTTGTCGATCGATACGGTGGAAAAGGGGAATGCATGTGGCGTTATGGCGTTTAGAATTATTATACAGAAATCACGTAATAAACGCTATTAATATTTACTATTTTAATATATATTTTATTTATACGCTATTTTATTATATATTACTGTTCAGTTTACCGGAAAGGTAATAAAGATAAATATAATACTAAAGGCCCATTTACACGGTGCAAGTTTCTTGCCTGTAGTATACAATTAAATTGAAGCAATAAATGAGTTGCATGGTCTAAACAACAAATGGTCTAACAAATTATTGCGCGCAATTTAATTGCATTCAATTATTGCTCTTGTATGTACAAGAAAATGGCATCGTGTAAATGGGCCTTAACGCACGAAAGCAATATTCTTTACCAGAATTGCTTATTGAAGTGAAACTTCTTTATCGGGGTTGGAAAAAAATTTAGTGTAACATTTTTGCGTTACGCGCCATCTTTTTCTTATCGGTTTTAATAGTTGACGCCAGATGGCGTTAGTTCCTTTGTGTGACAATATATATATATGTTATATTAAAGTGATCAGCAAAATCAAAGGGTTTATTTTAATTCTAATTCTAAAATGTAAACAATATATTTCGTATTTCAGTTACCATAAGCCATTAATAACACAAATATATAATAACGACATCAATGATAGTAATAATTCTATTACAATTAATGAAATTCAATAATAATATTTGTAGTAATGACAGTGCTAGCTCTAATACTTCAGAGCACGACACTGTAGAGACTTCCTCTTCTCTAAAGGCAGGCACCGCCCACCGTGACCTGACTGCGCCTTCCACCGAAGACACAATCTGAAGCTGACCGACGATGCTCTTCGAAGCCTCGATCGGCTCCTGGAACTTGCGGTTGCGACGTCGATCCAACGTCCGCAAGTTCGGTTTTCCAAAAAAACTTCACTCACGACACTCGCGCGAATGTCTGCTTTCTACTAACTGGCTGACTATTCGGCAACGAAGGACCATGTACAAATTCAAAGCGGTTGTATAGGTTAATTGAAATAAACAAGGTTCACGTTGCAAGTTTTTTAATCAACAATTTTTGCGGACCCTCATACTAATTACAACGGTCAAACCATAGTGTGTTTTAATAATTAAAAAAAAAAGTTTTACTTCTTACGAGTGTACGCTAGTACACGCACACATTTTTTTACTATAATTTTTAGCATTATCATTAGTGTTGCAATCCCACATAAAGGAAATTATGTTTTAAATGTCTAATTCATTAGTTTTTTGATAGAGGAGAAACATACATAAATTTTTATATTTAATAAACCATGTTTAATCCATTTCGCGAGTATTTTTATCGTATGACGGCAGCAATATACATTTACTATTAATCTTAGCATAAACATGGTATGGGCACATTATGAGAAGGGATGAAAGTTATGTGACTAGAAGAGTGTTGAATATGAATGTGGGTGGAGAGTGTAAAGTAAGAGGAAGAACGAGAAAGATTTGGATGGACTGTGTGAAGAATGATATGTTTGTGAATGGGTAAGTATTGAGATGACGGCTAATAGAGGAAAGTGGAAGGACATGCTGTGCCGACTCCACCTTATGTGGGATAAGGGCAGGAGAAAGAAGATGCATATCTTAGTGTAAACAAAACTTTGCTTGAACATGCTACCGAGATTATGCCACGACTTTAGTGGACGCTCTATTAGATAGGTTTTCACTGTGGTAGGGTAGGGCCACGCAGCAGCTTCGGCTGTTGCACAAATGGGCGTTCTCGCGCGGAGAAAAACCCCGGTAGTTCTACGCCGCTTAATACTGGCGTGTAGGAAAAGTGTAAAACTTATGCCTTTCGTCTGGCGAGTGAGGTAACCAGTGCCCACTTTTTTGAAGGTTGACAACGCCTCTGCAACACCCGTTAATTCTAAGTAAACATATATAATTGTAAGTATAATACTTCTGCGTATGCTCTGGTTACGTTACCGAGACCCCCTGTTTTTGAAGTCAGCAGCACATCATCTACCTCTTCGGGTGTTGTTGATGTCCACGGACGGTACTCAGTTTACGTCAGGTGAACCTCCAGCTCGCATGACAACTTTCAATTGAAAAAAAAAAAACAAGAGCTACGGAGGATTTTGTGGACGTCCATGGGTTGCGGTGATCACTTCAGGCCAGACGAGGAGCGACTGATCCTTCGCGATGTGAGGAACTGCTGCGTGGTCTATTCAAGTGAAGAGTTGTATCGTGTTGCGCTCAGATGTCGATGTCCGCGCGCGACTACGCCGAGGCGGCGCAGAGCGCGCTGGCCGCGATGCAGGAGGCGTGCGGGGGTGGGGCCGCGGGGGCGGGGGCGGGACCAGCGGGCGGGGCTTTGGCGGCGCTGCTTAGGGCCTCGGACCCCCGCCGCCACGTGCCGCGTCACCAGCGACGACTGCTGGCGCTGCTCGACAAGTGAGGCCCTGATTACGGTTCTTTTGTTTCGGGTAGTGGGGAGGAGGAAGCATAGGGAAGGGGAGAATGAACAAAGTCCCGGCGTTTTGCTGGGAAGGGGAGAATGAACCCAGTCAGGGAATGGGAAGGGGGAGAATTACCATAGTCGCCGGCTTTTGCAAAAATGACAAAGCGGTAACTCTAGACTGGGTTTAGGACTGGAAACGATGATCCAATTAACTAAGACAGAAGATATACATATTTTTAGTTTGGTAGAGAGAAGACTCGCTGGCAAGCCTCTTTAGAAGACCATTAATGGAAGCTATGCCGAGCCCGAGCATTAATGGAAGCTATGCCTAATGGAAGCCCTACCGCGTCTAACCTAAAGGAATCTTTAAATTTATATCCGAAAATCATGTTCTTTTTAAACTTCCAATTTTCTGCACTTTTATACATGTATACGTTTCTACTATACAGTGTTACACCTATTCCTTGCAGACAATCGAACTTTCTTGAAACGCAATACAAGATATTATGCAGGGAAGTCACTTTGCATCTGTTTTCTCTTTCCAGCACACGCATACGTAGGTAAAACTTTTAGTTTTTCGTTCGACATTCTCTTTGTGCTCTTTCTCCATGACACTTCATTGAAGAATTTGTCCGTCATTAATTAGTGATTTATTTTGTTCCATGCAGGATTATGTCCAACGTAACCAGTGATTCCCAGGAGTCACCCGCAGAGATCGATGGTAATTATAGTTACATACATAAGCTCTACGAGCTCAATTGTTTGGCGTCACACATCTTTTTAATTTTTTTTTTAACGTCATATTGAAATTATTCAATATAGTAATCATAGTGTTTTTTTACTCAGACTGTTAAGCTAAAATATATAGTTATTTACATTTAAGTATGCTTTTATTATGGCTGGGCCACACATCAGATTCTGCTGTTGCATGAACGGGCAGGCTCGAAGAAGAACAGCGTGAAGTCGAAGTATTATACTTTCTCGATCCGTCTGGCCGACGCGATGACGTGTCACCCAGCCCAGTCTTGTAAAAGTTGGCATCGCACTTGCAAGCTATTCACTTAACATTAGGTGAACCGCCTGCGCCTAAAGTAGAGCTTTGCTTTACCTGGAACTGAATAACGTTGTGTAAAAAATATTTTCTTAAATATTCATTCAGATTATTATTAATTCAGTACAGTAGAAAAATGGAGCTAAACGCAATAAAGGCAAAGTAGATAAATACGTTGTTATTTTCGTCGATGTGAAGATATTTCGGTGTGTATCGCGGAGGGCAAAGGTTCAAATTCTCACAGCGTCGTAAGACTCGTCAATTTTTCTACAGATTTAAAATTCGATTCATTTAAATGTTCGTCCTTTTCTCAGAATCTGTGTTCTCGTCGACCCCCGCGACCTCTAGGAGCGGTGTGAGTATGGCGAGCGGCTACACGAAACGGCTGACGGCCTTCCGTAAGAGTCTGGCGCCCAAAATTCAGGAGCCTGGGGTAAGTTTACGGACCCTTGTCTCATCAAACGATCGCTTTCAGATGTATCTATACTCATAATAAGGCATAAATATTGTTTCCTTACTTTATTTTTCTATTTCATTTACTTAATAGCGTAATACTTAACAGTGCATTATACATAAGTCTATCTAGTAAAAAAAACCGCATCAACATCCCTTGCGTAGTTTTAAATATCTAAGCATACAAAGGGACAGACAGACAGCGGGACGACTTTGTTTTATGCTATGTAGTGATCTTACTACTTGTCTGGCATTATGCAATTACCGTCGCCCGTATACATACGGTGTAGAAGATTCGTAGCCAATCTTTAAAAGCGTGAGCCCCGGCTAACTCACGCGTAGAACAAAACCCAAAAGTATAATACTTTCATTGCGTGCCGGTTTTATGCGATGCTATTGTACTTCCCACAAGTGGCCACTCCGAGGAAAAGGGGCCGAAATATTTGAGGGTATTAATATTCATTATGTATACATTTGACACTTGCTGAATTTATATTATTAGCACCTATAGCTGTGATAGCTCAGTGCTCCGGTGCTTGATTTTATTTTTTTAATGAGTTGCCCTTCGGTGTTAGTTACAAAAATTAAACCATTAAGTATACGATATGCACATAAGCTTAAAGTTTTTGGTCTTTCTATCATTAACACTAGTTTTCGAAGATACGTGCTCATCTGCTTTTCAAACGCATTTCTTTTCGCTATTTTGCAAACAAATGCCCAACCACTAGTGGAAACCGTAAGGTAAACCATTACATTGAGTCTCGAAGTGATATAATAGATTATGAAGCATAAACTTCATAAACTTATATGCAATTAGAAATGAAATACTGATATTGACTTTTTTCTACAGTTGGTTCAAGAAATTCCGGAACAAGGTAATTATTTATCTTATTAAAATTCATCCCAAATTTCAGTTGGATCATTAGAAAGTATCTCTAATGTCACTTTTGAATGTATATTTTCTTATGTACGAAACTTAATGTATTGTAATGGCCAAATAGAGTATAATTGGCCGTATTTCTATTGCGCATGAAAGATTAATTGTTAAATAGTCTCGAATATAAACCATCTGTCTATTCACGGTGCAAGCTCAGAGAAGAATCTATAATACAATTCACCGATTAATTTAGCATGATTTGTGCACCCTTGACCGTTTAAATTGGAATTATGGATTTGTCTCCTTACCGCTGTGCATAGTCACGTTAAAACATTGAATACATGAAGATCTAATGATGTATACCTATGTATTTCAACGAGGTGGTACTCGAAACGTAATGTATCTATCTTCTTTATAATAATAATGTTTGTTTATAACGTTAAATATTTGTTTACATTTATATTATTATTCATTTATATTATTATAGTTATTTCATATATTCACTGATCGAAGTCACCTATTAAGTATAAAATGCCTGTGACAGGTGACTTCCCTCTTCCATAGCTGATTATATAATTTATAAGTCACAAAAAAATAGAAAAATGTAAACGAATTAAAAAGAGCATATTATACCTAAATATAAGTCGACGTTTTGTCAGCATATACCATTGTAGGTAAATAGTGTTTTTGCTGGGGTGTTAATGGTGTGTTTATTTCATTTGTTGCAATAATGACTCTATCCATCATAATTTAAAGGCATAAGAAAATTATTCAATATTTGCTTACATTCTTTATATTATATATATATTATTCTTATATATATATATATTCTCCTGTACGGGTGTATGTCACTCAACTGCTCCTAAACGGCTGGACTGATATTATTGAATTTTTTTATGTGACTTCAGGTCGATTTGAGAATGATTTAGATTAAGAATTCGGTCCACTACATTTTTTTTTATTTATAAGTTGTTGTCGGAATTAAGTCGCGTGTACAGGACAACGTCTGTGGGTCCGCTAGTTATAATATAAATATGTATTTCGGGACATATTTCATCACAACGGTAGTAATATTAGGTAACCAATTAATATGATTAAAACTACTTTTGGTTTGCAAATAAATAAATGTTTTAGATAAATAGCCAACCGGACATACGTCCTGTACATACGACTTAAATCCGCGTATCCCCCACCCCTCCCCCGCGCATTTGGTACTTATATATGCAATCTCTATGTCGCCCTATACTATTTAATTCACTTTGTATTAAAATTAAACTTTTGTCTTGTTTTCAAAGCACGTCGGTCGACGGTATCGTTGCGGGTAGTCGCAGTGGGGTTAAATGAACCCTCGCCTCCTGAGGGTGTTGCTGTATGCGCGATATTGCCTCGCAAGACGCACCGATAATTCAATAAATCATTGTTTTTAATGTGATTTGATTTGCAATGTTCATTGGAAACGCGGCAACTTTTATTTATTTCTTTTTTAAATTTACACATTTATAAATATTAATACTTAATATTTTTGATTAAATTGTGGTTAAAGTAATCGGCTGCTATTTTAATCGCTTGAAGTTTTATTTTTAATCTGTAACACAAACAAAGGCGAGTTAACGACATCACTTTATTTACTAAACATTATACTATTTTTATAATTTTGTCCGTGTTAAAATTGCATTGCATGTCATTTAATTCTAATTATTTGTTTTACGCGGCACACACTAAAAATATAACATGTATTGAAAACCAATTAAACTTTATTTTCACGGATGTCTGGTTTTCTTTCTCATATTTAACGTTTAAAATAAATCCTGACAAATAATCCCCACAAAAACCGACGTGATATGGAAGTGTTGTACTTCAGCGTTTCGTCTGGTGAGTGACGTAACTGGGGCCCACTTGTATAAAAGGTGGCAAAGTATCTGCAACCTTACGGGTGTGGCAAATGTCAATTTTTGCCATCACGTTTGCCACCTCACATGAAAAATAAATAAAAAATCTAGAAACTGGCCACTGGCCCCTGACGTCAAAAATAATAATCGATAACAAATCAAATGTTTTATTCACTCGGAAAATCCTTGCTCAAGTGATTATACTAGGAGCCGTACACTAAAAGCCTGCTAGAGTAGGTATTAATATCGATCAAAGGACTTGGAAACTTTATGGACTCGTAGCCGGACCTCAAATTTGGTACACGGCCGTTGATATGCGATTTTTGCGATTTTTGGCTCAATTTATAAATTGTGGCCGCGAAAAATATAATGATTGATAAAGTTAAATAAAACACGTTTACGATTGACATGGGTCAGCATGCCATCGTGTCGTTTTGAGTGGGTAAATGGAAGAAACAGGCGAAAATGTTTAATGCATTTCCAACAAGCGATTCAGACGACCGAACTTTGTAAATGCGCATAAGTAATAACAGAATATTAACTATTTTAGGGTATTTCGTGTTCGGCAAAAAATATTAGACTTTAAACTTTGATACTTTGTTAGAATCGTTGCCTCATATTTGAACCTACTGATTAATTATACTTATTGGCAGTTTTGTTAGGAATAACATACAAGCACTCTTCATTCAGGATCTTAACATCTGGGTATACAAAGCGAAAAATTAAAATGGGAATCAAGGTAAAAAAGAGGTTAATAGACAATAGTTTGTGAGTGGGGATAACTGAGGCCATCTCTTTAAAGCTTTCCATCGCAACCACAAGTGTTGTGGACGTCTTGAGGCTACGGTAATTATTTAAAATCAAGTGCTCGTTGTCACCTCACATAAAAAAGCATTAAATAAAATCATCACAGGTCAATGGCATGGGAACGGTTAAATATCGAACAATACAATACGGATGTAAATAATCACCTTAAAAATTTAACGAAATTCATGAGATAATTAACTTCATAGAAATATCTTTCGAGATTATATGAAACCTTGGAAAGTTTGACTACATTTGGAAAAATTAATAAGTTAAAGAAAAACCTTGAAAAGTATGTTTAGACTTTATGACATTCACAACGTATATCGTCGTCCTGTATGGAATCTGATTGTAAAGGTTTGTAACTAATGCATAAAGCAATTGGGTACATTGAGAATGTACATAATCACATGCAAGACAAATGTTAAGTTTAAAGAGTACGTTGATAGAAATTTAAGGTCATAAAGGGAAAGAAATAATGAGCCGTGATAGCTCATTGCTTGGACGCTCGCTTTTAAATTCAATATACTCGTGCAACCTGAGTTCGATCCCTGGAAACTGCTTTGCTGGAAAAACTTTTCAAAATAATAACAAAAAAAAATATTTTCAAGATATGTACGACCTGTGCAAATGTGCGGAAAGTCGATGGATGAAGGTGGCTCAGGTTCGTGCTTTGTGGCACTATGGGGGAGGGCTACATTCAGCAGTGGACTCTTACAGGCTGAAACGATGGTGAAGAGAAAAGAGTCAAATATATTCGATAAGTAAGTTGTGTAATGAGTTGTGCAGAGTATGGGTAGGAATGAAAAACGAACAGTAAATGTTCTTAATTTGTTAAGTTCACATTCCTCTGGGAATGGAATGTCGAAGTAAGGTGGTAAATGCACATCGGTTACAAAGAGCTAGTTCCCTCCATTGAAATGCAATCATCCGAAAGTATGCTATCGATTACATAAAACAAGAAGCGATTTATATAATATAGTTGTTCTGGTCGTTGGCCCATTTAGTTTTTTTTTTAATTTTAATTTAGTTTAGTTATAGTAGAGCATGTATTGTAGAGTACATGTAGTGTAGAGTGGCGTCACCATTGCGATCCGCAATATTTGAATTATCAATGTTTGCTTAATAATAGAATCCATGCACTAAGAAGTTTGCCAAAAACTAGCCTAAGGACGAGATATACTGAGGAGTACGATAATATAGTAGCTTCTCCTTCTGTGCGTATTGACAGGCTATCCGGGGAAATACCATGGTCCAACCTAAGAAAATAGTAAATTGAAAGATTCTTTGTTGTTTTGGGTTTTGTCTGATTATTTATTGATGTAAAAAAACAGGACTTATTCTTTCAACATTAGTCAACGCATCCATAAATATCTCAATATGTTTAATTGCTAGCTTCTATAATTTGAGCTGGAAATCACTTTACATGTATAGAGAACTGCTTGTTTCCTTGACACTTCGCATTAGTTCGAGCCATGGACCCATAAACAGTGTCTTTATTTATCAAGTTATAAATCTTGGGCAAACTGAGTTTTTCAATAATACACAAATTTATAATAATTCTTTATTAACAATATCATTTTAATTCTGAAATTTACATTACTTACTGTCTTTTAAAATAATCATAAAAACAATGTGGATCTATTGGCAAGTTCAAGAGTTAGTAAAAAGAATGGTGGGATTGACATAAATTGACAAATACATAATTAATTTAAGAGACAATTTATTTCATTGATATCCACACTATCAAAGCTGATCTAATTTATGTGCTACCGAAAACATTGTGTTAAAATAAGCTCTAGTTCAGATACATGCTATAATATGAAACATCCCATTTTTACAAAATCTAAACATTTTCTTTATAATGCACTAAATTATTTTGAGAAAACAATAATGGTTTATGTTCAGTGTTTATTTATGATTATAACTTATCATGTTTCAAAGATGCAAATGATCACACAATATTTTTACAAGTCAGGAACTATTTTTGACAGGACATAGTCAAACTAATGTTCATTAGTAAATAGGCCATACAAAAGCTAAAAAATAGGCAGACCTTTTTAGTTACATTTCAATATTTTTTTCTTTCTAAAATTCAAAATGTAAAAGTGTAATAAATTACGGTGTAAATAGATCAATGAGCTTAAAATATAGATAAAAATAATACATCACAATACTAAGTCCCTTGTGGGCAAAGCCCTTGCTTGAGTAGTAAAATTATTGGTAATAAATATGACACTACATTATGGTCCATTAAGAAATCTGAAATTAAAATCAAATTATACCATGTTTATCTTTTAAAGATTTTGAGTAACCATCTGCCTGAAAAATTTAATAAAATTTGATTTTCTATTTTTTTTAACATTTACCTAAAGCATATCAGTTGCAATTTATGATACTATAGTGATTCTAACACTGTTCATACAAACTACATCATAAGTTCACCATGTAATTTACATTTCTCAATTAAGAAATTTGCTACTCCACAAACAAGACACAGTGGCTGGAATAAGAGCTACCCAAGCCAAACAACATTGGGATTTCAATAGAGAGCAAGCCATTAGAAGACCTGCACAATCTTCCTTTCACAGCACGATGTGCCCAACCACGCTTCACTTCACATCGCCAAATTGGCCTTTCACTTACTTCAAACAGTGCTAGAATATCAAAACGTCATAAATCAGGGAAACGCAGGGGATCTTCAACATAATCTTCTGGGATAACAAATAGATCGGGTGGTATATTTTCACGGAAATCAAATTTTTGAAAGGTGATTTTTGCTGTAACTGTAGGTAAAATTGGTATATCTATTTTGACTGGAAATCCCTTAGGCAACTTCATTGCCACAAATTGTCGTAATTTAGCAAAATGCTTAAATGGTGCTATAACTTCCAAAACATTAAGAAGCATGTCCACACTCAAAGGGAATTCATCACTCATTGCAATTGTTGCTCGAAAATTTCTAGAAGACTCTTTATAAACTAGCTCCCGGCCCAAACTAGGATACTGTCCAGGAGGAGATGATATGTATGTTTTCCAGTCGACTCCAGTTTCTGGTGGAGGATTTAATGATGCTCGACGGGTTGGCTCTCCATTTGTATCTAAGCTTTGTGTATTTCCTTTTGTTAAGCTTTCTATAATTGCTTTGTTTTTTTGCAAATCATCTGTTGATAAGTGTTCCCTTCTTTTTCTAGATTCAAGTACCAGCCCTGTAATAGTGTATATATCACTTTTGTATAAACCTGCCACCGTTTCTTTGCGATCCTCTCGAAATATCCAACCAGATTGAGCCCTTGCAAATAAAATACCTTTTGTGGACATCTGTGCTGCAAGAATATCACTTGACATCAAAATATCAACCTCATCTTCTATTTCTGTTTCTGTTTCTTCATAGCGAACTCTTTGATACACTTTAGCTTTATTATCCAAGACTGTTAAAGCCTCTCCCTGTGGCTTTTCTCCTCGGAAAATGAATGAGATATCACCTCTTTCCCATTTCATGTCTGTGAAATCCACTAGAGTGGTGTCTAATCGTATTCCAGAACCTGACTTATATATTTTACAAACATCGGATGGCAATATCCTTGAAACTAAAGGTACCCATGAATGGAAGTCCCACTTGAGTTCCATGTAAAAATCATGAATTTGAGCTAGAGCTCGAATGAGGTCAGGCCGCCTGCGATCCATTTGTTCTCTAGCTTGCTGTTTG